TCCTGGGTTCCAGTCAATTTTATTGTTTACCATTTAAAATGTCACAAAAACGTTTCGGTGTTTTTCTCCACCATCATCAGTTTGTATGTATGGTTGTGTGAAACAACCATACATACAAACTGATGATGGTGGAGAAAAACACCGAAACGTTTTTGTAATATGTTAAATGGTAAACAATAAAATTGACTGGAACCCAGGAATTTCTTTTGAATTAAGTTGAAATACAGTCAGGAAAATATACACAATTAATAAATATTTAGGCTCATTTTAAACTGTCCACATCGTCGTCCTAATCCTAGACTCAATCTGTTCCAATGGAGGACCTTTTCAAGTGCAAACCGATGCAAAAAACCGCAATAATCTAAATCTGATTAACTCAAACCAACTCCGTCATCTTCAAGAACCGATTAAACCAACCTTAAGCATCTTCAGCCGTTTCTGCCCAGCGCGTCTCATTTTCGACCAGCAAAAAGTCGTCTTACGCATAAATAATTTACGAAAGCAAATTGACTTAAACGGTCACACCCCAAACGAGCATTGTAGTCTCAAGTCAAATTCATGACTAACTCCCTACTTCCTGTAAAACTGAATGACTACAAAGGGAAATTTGCATACAAGGGAGCAGGCAAACATCGAAAGTCATGCACGGCCAATCTGAGCAACGTTGAAAAACAACGCCTTGTTTTACTGCAATTGAAATTCCGGTCGTTTTCGGTCTTCGAAAAAATATTGGTCAGTGGCACTCACGTTTCAAGTTCATCCATTATTTTTTCGTTTGATCGTTTGTTCATTAGTCGTTCCGATGTTAGAAGATTATCAAGAACAACAGTGATTTTCGTGTGTTTCAGCACCGGTCTTGTGAAGCGTGTCTTTTCTGGATCTAGATGGATTAAGCCAGTGGGGTGAAGCTCAACATGAACACGTGCACTACTGTAAGCCTTTCTTTTGCATGCTTCTTCTGTTAACTCCGTGTCGATTTTAGCTGATACTCCTTCTGCTCCTTGCAACAACCGAGCAAAGAAGCCAGAGTTTTTCAGCAATTCGCGCCAAGAGAAGCGAGCATGTTCCTTCCCTGGAAACTCCCACATTCAGGCGCGACTCCGTAGAACATATCCCGGAGGAGGTTTCCTCCAGCATGAAAGCCTCCTATATGAGCCTAGAGGAATTCGGAAGCAAAAGCCTTCCACTGAGAACAGCCGTGGAAAGCGTTCCAGACATGTAACAGTTCCTTAGCCCCATCAAGCAAACCCCAAAGATTTCTGGCATTTCAGAAGCAGCAATTCCCATCGTCTTCCTCTACGCGATGCTGTGGAAAGGCGACCACTGCCAGAAGAAAGCCAGCTGAAGAAGCACGAAAGTCTTCAACTCCAACAGCCCACTTTTCCAAACTACCTCTTGCAACCGATAGGATGGGGGCTTAATTCGCCCTCAACCTTTTACTCGCCTGCTAATCATTTTAGGGCAATGATCAGCAGCTATCTACCCTACAGAGTCAGCAATGGATACCAGCAGCTGCTGATCAGCCCGTTCAGCTACAACCGAGGACGCAGCTTAAAATTAGGTGGGTTTTGCACATAAATTTGGCAAAAATTTACACAACAAAGTTGTGGGCTTTTCCAGAAGACAATGTGGAACAATTTGAAAACATCGCCGACAAAAAGATCGTCTGCTACGTAGAAGCGGCCGCAGCCTATAGAAAGCAGCCATTAACATTCACACCAGAAGACTTGGATCCTTATTTGTGCACGCACATTATTTATGCCTTCGCTTCTTTGGACCCTGTTAATCACCATGTTGTGTCCAATGACGAAGAGTATGATATTGTTCAAGGTAGGAATTCAGCCAATTAAATAATATTAACATTAAAGTGAGCTGGCATTTAGAAAGGATAGCAAAATAACGAGAGGACTTTTCGAAAGTTAGTTGAATATTTGTTGAGCCCTGAAAAAGCAGCCAGTGCTTTGATTTGCTTGCAATTTTGCGCGTTTGATCACTAAGATGTGTGCTATGGATTGGCGAAGAAACAAATCTGTATATGTCCTAGCTTGAAGGTGATCAATTTTTTAAGTCAGTGTTTTGAGAACTTTTCGCTTTAAATGAGATGAACGTTTGTTGATTTTCAAAAATGATTCTCATGGCACCTTAAACATAAAGAATTTTTCAAAATCAATGTCTTCAGACTTTTTCAGGTAGTATGTAAGTTTGTTGATTCTTTAAAAATCAGTTTGTAGTTCGATTTTCTTCACATTTTCCCCATTTGCACCTCAAGGTGTATTATATACATGAACAAACAATCAAGCCTCTACCTGCACTTTTTTGATCGTGGCAAATTTTGGAAAACCAGTCTCTTGAGACCATTTTTTAGTTAGTATAAGATTAAAGTTTGCTGACTATTGGAAAACAATCCTGAATTCTGATTTACCTGAAAATGTTCGCGTTTTACGCATTAAAGTGTCCTCTATAAACCAGCACAGTAACCACTCTCTACTTGCACTAGTTTCAAAGTGACGAATTTTTGAAAGCCAGTGTCTTGAAAACTTAGTATATTTAGAATTTTACTTAATATGTTTATGAAAGTTGATGGATTCTTGAAAAATCGTCCTGAGGTCTGACTAGCTTCAACTTTGCACTGTTTGCAAATTGAAGTGTCTCCTATAATCTAGCAAAGTAACAAGTCTTTACTCGCACTACTTTGAACGCCAAGAATTTTTCAAGTCAATGTCTTCAGACTTTTTCAGTTAGTTTGAGATGAAAGTCGGTTAGCTCTTGAAAAATCATACCGTTGCTCAATTGGCTTAATTTTTGCCACAATTAAACAATAAGGTGCGCTCTATAAAATAACAAAAAAATCAAATCTGTACCTGTTCCGGATTGAACGTGCAGAATTTTTGAGAATCAACCTTTTTGTAGCTGGTCTCAATATGAGAGAAAAGTTTATTGATTGGTGAAAAATCATAATGTGCTCGAATCTATTTCAAATTTTCAGCATTTACGTGCTTAAGTGGTTTCAATAAACCAGCATAATGACAAGTTTCTACTTGCATTACTTCGAACATCAAGAATTTTTCAAGTCAATCTCTTCAGACTGTTTTAGTTAGTTTGAGGTGAAACTCGGTTGGTCCTTGAAAAATCATATCGTTGCTCAATTTGTTTGAAATTTATACAATTTGCAGAATAAAGTGTGCTCTACAAATACGTAAAAAAATCAAATCTGCACCTGTTCGGGATTGAACGGGAAGAATTTTTGAAAATCAACCTTTTTGTTGCTTGTCTCAATATGAGAGAAAAGTTTATTGATTGGTGAAAAATCATAATGTGCTCGAATTTATTTCAAATTTTCAGCATTTACGTGCTGAAGTGGTTTCAATAAACCAGCAGAATGACAAGTTTCTACTTGCATTACTTCGAACATCAAGAATTTTTCAAGTCAATCTCTTCAGACTGTTTTAGTTAGTTTGAGGTGAAACTCGGTTGGKCCTTSAAARATCATAYCGTTGCTCAATTTGTTTTAAAATTATAGAATTTGCAGAATAAAGTGTGTTCTACAAACGAGTAAAAAAATCAAATTTGCACCTGTTCCGGATTGAACGTGAAGAATTTTTGAAAATCAACCTTTTTGTAGCTTGTCTCAATATGAGCCAAAAGTTTGTTGATTGGTRAAAAATCATACTGTTGTCAAATTTATTTAAAATGTTCAGCATTTACATACCAAAGTGTCTCCAATAAACCAGCAGAATAACAAGTTTCAACTTGCATTACTTTGAACATAAACATTGTTTTGAAAGTCCTTGTTTCCAGACCTTCTCATGATATCAAAGTTAGTTGATTCTTGAAAAATCATACCGTGACTCAATTTGCTTCCAATTTATAGAATTTACAGAACAAAGTGTGTACTATAAATGAGCAAACAAACAAGTCAGCCAGTGTCCCAGATTGAACATGAAGAGTTTTCAAAAATCAATCACTTTAAAGCTTTTCTGTTTAATTTAGGTGGATACAAAGCGGTGGTTGCTTTAAAGCGCTTCAACCGGAATTTAAAAGTTCTCCTCTCCATTGGTGGGCCTCGCGATGAAGCCTCCCACCGATTCTCCAATATGATCTCTGCAGCCAATGGAAGGAGAGACTTTATTAGGAGCGCTTTCAGCTTAGTCAAGGAGTTTCACTTTGATGGTGTTGAAATCCATTGGGAATACCCTGGTAGGAAACCGGCTTTAAGCCAGTAGAATCGAATTTAATCTGGAAATATTCCTTCAGCTAACGAAGAACTTGGAGGCCGAGCGAGCGATAAGGAGAACTTCCAGTTCTTGATCGAAGAACTTTCCGAGGTCTTCAAGCAATCAGGCCTGCTAGTGGCTGTTGCCGCACCAGCTTCAAGATTCCGTATTGAAGACGGATTCTACCCGTCTAAGCTAAACGACTTTGTGGACTTTGTGAATGTCCAAACCTACGACTTCCATAGGGATAGAGACCCAGTGGTTGACCACCACGCCAGCTTGAATGCTCGGCCTACCGATGAGGGCCTTAACATATTTCTAAACGCTGTAAGTCCAGTTGGGCTGTTGTAATCATCAGAGATGTTTACAGGAAAATTCCAGGATTACGCCATCAACTTCTGGATCAAAAATGGCCTTTCCAGCACCAAAATCATCCTCGGAGTTCCGTTCTTTGGCCGCACGTTCACGCTGCAGTATATTAACGATACTCAAGTGGGGGCGCCGATTAAAGGTCCAGGACATCAAGGCTTCTACACGCAAAAGCCGGGTTTTTTGGCCTATTTTGAAATATGCGACATGGTAGTGAATGAGGGGTGGTACCAAGGCGAAGATGAGGACGGTTCTCCTTATATCGTCAATGGCGACCAGTGGGTCGGATACGATAACGAAAAAAGCATTAAGAGAAAGGTACTTTGAATAGAAAATGCTGGGGAAAGATCTTGGAATGGAACTGTTGCAGATCGCCTATGTGAAAAACCAAAACTTGGGAGGCGTCTTTGCATGGGCGGCTGACTTGGACGACTTCAAAGGACTATGTGGAAGCAAATTTCCGCTGTTGAACAGCATTAACAAGCAACTGAGAGGTGCTTGCGTTTTGCCATCTTAAACAGTCCCTACAAGGTTTTTTTGCAGGCAAAGCCCCTCCATCCCTGCAGACTGATCAGCAGAGCCCAATCAAACCATTCGGGACTTGTGAGTCTGAAGGCTACTACAGTGATCCGAAGAACTGCGCGGGTTACTACGTGTGTAAAAATGGCCTGAGCTATCATCTTTCCTGTGGAAATGATCGCATGTTTGACTCAGCTACCGGAAAATGCAGCAAGTTGCAGGCTGGCAAATGCAGGCCGGGGGAAATGGTCTATATTCACCAGAAACTCAAGAAACTGAACCAGGAACTATTCCCGGAACTTTTAAGGGACAATGAGCCCAAGGTAGAAAAGATATAAAGCTCATAAGCACCCCAAATGTTACTTTATCCATCCATCCAGGTGGTTTGCTACGTTACAAACTGGGCTTTCTACCGCAAAGCGGAGGGAAAGTTTGTGCCAGAACACATTGATCAGCGACTCTGCACTCATTTGGTCTACGCCTTTGCCAGTCTGGATCCCGAAACTTTGCTGCTAAAGGAGTTTGATTCTTGGGCAGACATAGATAACAGTGAGTAGAACTCCAGGAAATATCAGGAGGGAAGTAGGTAGTCCATAAATTGCCAATTTCCAGATTTATACCAGAGAATAACATCGCTAAAGGACACCAAAGTCCTCCTTTCCCTTGGCGGGTGGACGGACTCAACAGGCGACAAATACTCCCGCCTGGTAAGCGACGGATCGGCAAGAAGACGCTTTGTGGTGGGCACTTTGAGCTTCCTAAGAAAGCATGGCTTCAGTGGACTCCACTTAGACTGGAACTACCCGATCTGCTGGCAGAGCAACTGCAAGAAGGGCCCGGCTTCGGATAAGCCCAACTTCACCAAGCTGCTCCAGGTACATTCCCCAATCTGCCCAATTGCAATTCAGTCTCACGTCCCTCATAGGAGCTACAGCGGGAGTTCGACAAGCAAAGCCCACCCCTCATTCTAGCCGCTTCTATTTCCGGCTACAAAGAGGTGATTGACGTCGCCTACGATTTGCCCGCAATTGGTCAAGCTTTGGACTTTATTTCCGTGATGACTTACGACTACCATGGAGCCTGGGAGGGCAGAACTGGGCATGTCAGTCCGCTTTATCACCAACCTCTGGACAAATATCCTCAATATAACACGGTAAGATTGTCACTGGTTGCAAAAGTCCAAAGTTGATGCTTCAAAGGTGCAACTTCCCTACTGTTCTTCAACTCAAAGACAACAGCAAATTATCCATCTATTTACTCTAGAACTTCACAATGGAATATCTGGTGTCCAAAGGAGCCCCCAGAGGGAAACTTCTGCTAGGGGTGCCGTTCTACGGCCAAAGTTTCAGCCTGGCAAAGACCAACAGCTATGCAGAGGGAACGCCTTCAATCGGTCCCGGAAAGCCTGGGGAATACACCAAGCAGCCCGGAATGTTGGCGTACTACGAAATCTGCTACAGAATCAAAAGCCAGAGCTGGGTGATGAACAAAGGCTCTTTAGGATCTGGCCCTTTCGCCTACTTGAAGGACCAGTGGGTAGGATATGAAGACATTGACTCCATCAAGGAAAAAGTACGGTGTTTTGGCTGGGGGAGTTGAGAGTTTTCATTGAAAGCGTTTGTAGGCCAATTACATTAGAACTAGCGGCTTTGGAGGCGCGGTTGCCTGGACCATTGATCTGGACGACTTCAATAACCGATGTTGCACCGGAAGTTTTCCGCTGCTTCACAGCCTTAATGAGGCTTTGGGGCGCATTTCCTCCACTCCGGTGCAAGGAGATTGCACCAAACCTCCCACACCGTCTACTCCGGCTCCTCCCGAAACCACCACAGGAGTGGACTCAGGTAATTGAGGCTTTGCTAGAAAGCCAGGGAATAAAACTGGTCCTTTTCCAGGATCTGCAACATCAGAACATAGTCATCAAAGCACCTGGACGACAACCACGACTAAAAGAACCACAACGCAGCCTTGGTGGGTGGCGTCGTCCACTTCTTCCGCTTCCAGTCCCGCAACAACCCGAAAACCTGTGGCCACGCCCACTGTTTGGTGGACAACGTCTTCTAAAAAGCCCACCACTTCAGTGGGGGTTTGGTGGACTACGTCGACTCAACCTTCCACTTGGTGGAGCACCAGCAAAAGCACAGCCAAACCTTCCACCACTCCTTGGTGGCAAACCACCCAACCTTCCACCACTCGGTATGTGCTGGTTCACTGCACTCTAAGTGTTCTTCCAGCAGTTTTTCTGATCTGACTTAATTTCCTTGCAGCCCAGCTTCAAGCACTTCTGAGGCCACAACCACTCAACAATCTTTTACGCCGTTGGTGCCTCCGCCCGCAGTCATTCGCCCGGATAACCAAATGCCTCCGAAGAGTTGCGAGCCCGGGCAGTATATGGCTGATCCCAACAACTGCAATGCGTTTTACAGGTAGCCCTACGAAAACCCTCCAAATCCATCAATTTACTGTTTTTTTGGGAAAATAGATGCGTTGGGGGCGAGTTGACCAAGCAATACTGCGCCGGTGGCTTGCACTGGAACAAAAACCGACTGATTTGCGACTGGCCAACCTCAGCCAAGTGCAAAGAGCTGCGTAAGTTCCTCATGATTTAAACCCATTTTTACTCACAAACGGCGTTTGGTTTGGTAGAGTATTCGGCAACTTCCAAACCCTCCACCACACAGAACACCAAGTCGACTCCACACCATTTTGCCTCCACACCGACGACTCCTCTGAGCCACTACTCAGAAAACGGGTGTGAAACTGGTGCCTACTATCCGCATGAAAGTTGCGATCAGTTCTACGTCTGCTACAATGGCCATCTGATCGCTCAGGCGTGCGCTCCAGGGCTTAATTGGGACTCAGAAAAAGGAATGTGTGACTGGAAGTTTAAGGTGCGATGTCTTGGCAGGAGAAAGTTGGCCGAGAAGTACACTTTGCTCCATAACTTGGCGATTTATCGTAAGTACTACTGGACTTGGGACATTGATGATGGATTACATTTAGGAATGTTTCGCGCTCAGAGGCGATGAGACCTTTGAAAATGTCCACCGCAGTTGTGGACGAAACGTCAGGAAGAAATTCCGATAGACCACGGCTTCAAAGCCCGGAAAACATTCCTAAATGTAATCTGACCGGCCGTGAAAGCCTTCATAGTCTGATTGATGATGGAAGTGCAATATTCTCATTGTCGTCAGGTCCAAGGCCCTACTCGACTTGTGAGCAGAACGCCTTTGCCCCCTATCCAGGGGACTGCGGCCGATACATGCAGTGCCTGTGGGGAAAGTTCGAGGTCTTCCATTGTGCCCCCGGCTTGTCCTGGAACAGCGTAGGCCCCCCCAGTAAATTTGCCTTAGACATTCGCTGATTTTCTCCGAATGTGCAGGAAATGAAAATTTGCGACTGGCCCAAAGGAGCCCACTGCCTAGAGGCGGAGAACGAAATAGACGTCCTGGTGCCCAATGAGGAAACGCCTTCTGCGCCCCTCCCGCCATTGAAGCCCTCAACTTCCAAGCCGCCAGCAACCACCGAGTGGGAATGGAAGCCTCCGACCACCAGCCAACCGGGCGAGAGCCCTTGGGAGTGGCACCCTCCAATCCCTCCCACTTCTGAGCAACCTCCCCTTTCTGAGCCGCTGAAGCCCAAGTCTGACTATTTCAAGATCGTGTGCTACTTCACCAACTGGGCCTGGTATAGGCAAGGACAGGGCAAGTATCTGCCTGAGGACATCGACGCCAACTTGTGCACTCACATCGTGTATGGTTTCGCTGTTCTGGACTTCTCCAATCTTATAATAAAGGCCCATGATTCGTGGGCGGACTTTGATAATCGTACGTTAGTCCGACTGTCGATGACTTTCAAATGTTGATCAACTATGGATGTTTGCAGAGTTTTACAAAAGAGTGGTGGACTACAAATCGAAGGGTGTGAAAGTTTCCATTGCAATTGGAGGCTGGAATGACTCCCAAGGAGACAAATACTCCCGGCTGGTCAACAATCCGGACGCCAGAAGGCGGTTTATTGAGCACATTGTCAAGTTCCTAGACAAGTGGGGCTTTGATGGACTCGACTTGGATTGGGAGTACCCCAAGTGCTGGCAAGTAAGAAGCTTTCCAGCTCCTTAAGTATTGGGTGGTAACCACGGAAAACCCCCAGGTGGACTGCAAAAAAGGGCCAGACTCAGACAAGCCCAGCTTTTCGGCTTTCGTCAAGGAGCTGAAGGAGGCCTTTGAGCCTAAAGGCTATCTGCTATCAGCGGCGGTTTCCCCAAGCAAAACCGTCATCGACGCAGGCTACGACGTGCCTGTCCTAGGAAAGTACCTGGATTGGGTGGCTGTGATGACCTACGACTTCCACGGCCAATGGGACAAACAGACTGGACATGTAGCCCCATTGTTCTACCACCCAGAGGATGAAGTGGAGTGGTTCAACTCAGTAAGTGGCTCATGTGGCTCAAAGGTTTGTCCAAGCAAAGCATTGCTTCGCAGAACTTCTCCTTGCACTACTGGATATCCGAGGGAGTTCCCAGGAGGAAAATCGTGATGGGGATGCCACTGTATGGGCAGGCTTTCAGGCTGGAGAATGAGACGGATAATGGGCTAAATGCCAAGGCGCCAGGACCTGGAGAAGCCGGACCTTATACCAAAGCAGCCGGCTTTCTGGCTTACTACGAAATTTGCGATAATATCCAGAATAAGGGCTGGAAGGTTGTCCAGGATCCCAAGAGGAGAATGGGGCCGTACGCCTACAAAGCAAACCAATGGGTAAGGGCGAAGCCTTTGTTTACCACGCGTAATTGCCAGAACCACATTTAATTCAGGTATCGTTTGATGATCGAGAAATGATCCGGATTAAATCCGAATTCATTCGCCGAATGGATCTAGGGGGCGGCATGATATGGGCTCTGGATCTGGACGACTTCAAGAACAAATGCGGAGCTGGACGCCACCCTCTTTTAACCACCATCAGGAACGTTTTGGCTGATGCAGGTAGCTCGATTTTAGACCTTGGAGTCACCGGAAAATCTACTACTGGGGGTTGATACTTTGCAGGCACCGGAGTTCCAGAGCCAATTCCCCCAATCGACAACGATGTCGTTCCTGACCAACCCCAGCCAGTTGAAGCTGAGGATGCAGATGATTGGTCGAACACAACCCATCAAGCTGTTGTCGACCAATCAAGCTTAGCACCAGCGGTGCCACAAACCACCTCGCAACCGCTAGTGAACCCAAACAGCGAGTACAAAGTGGTGTGTTACTTCACCAATTGGGCGTGGTATAGGCAGGGGCGTGGCAAGTACGTCCCAGCTGATATTGATCCAGATTTATGCACCCACGTCGTCTACGGGTTTGCGGTGTTGAATGGAGATGAGCTGGTGATTAAGCCCCATGATAGTTGGGCCGACTTTGATAACAGTAAGTGCCAGCAGGAAGAAGACCATTTTTTCTGATGGAGCTTTTGCAGAATTCTACGAAAAAGTCACCGCATTGAAAGCCAAAGGCATCAAAGTGCTTATAGCGATTGGAGGATGGAATGATTCAGCCGGAGACAAATACTCGCGACTGGTTAACAATTCTTCGGCCCGCAGAAGGTTTGTTGCCCATGTGGTGAACTTCATCGAAGCCAATAACTTCGACGGTCTGGATCTGGACTGGGAGTATCCCAAATGCTGGCAAGTAGGTGCTTAACCACCCGGAAAAGATCCCAGATTTTCAACACATTTGCTTAGGTCGACTGCAACAAAGGCCCGGCTACAGACAAGCCAGCCTTTGCCGAGCTAGTCAAAGAGCTGCACGCAGCCTTCGAGCCGAAAGGTTGGCTGCTTTCAGCTGCAGTTTCTCCTAGTAAAAGGGTGATTGATGATGGGTACGATGTGCCCATTTTGTCCAAGTATCTGAGCTGGATTGCAGTTATGACTTACGACTACCATGGACAGTGGGACAAAATCACTGGGCATGTTGCGCCGATGTATACACATCCGGAAGATATTGATGCCACCTTCAACGCCGTAAGTTTTAATCTGCACCGGTTTGTGCTTGGAAAAAGTCCGTTACAATTTTGGCTTTTTCACGTATGTTTGTCAAAGTTGAGAGAGAAAAGAAGGTGCTTTTGCAAATTTTACCAGTCTTTGTTGTACCGCAAATTGCCTTATTTCAGCTTCAGGCTTCGGGGCTTGTAAAAAATTAGCTGGGGAATGGATTTCAGTAATTTTTTTCTGAAAGGTAGACTGAAGTTGTCGTTACTGTTAGTGATAATTATAGGTCGCTGTTCCAGTTCGGTTTGGAGATGGGAATTTTTCCTTAGAGTCTGCGGTGTTGAAGTTGCCTTTCTGCTTCGCGTGTTCTGAAAAATCAGGAATCTACTGAATCCTGTTGAAAGATTGGCGAAACATTTTCACACGTTCTGTTTACCTTTTGTGAAAATTGCAAGTTTCTACGTTGATTTTCGAGGAAAGGTATTTTTTTGAAAGTGGCGACTCAAAATTGCGGTTATTTAAGGTCTAGATTTACACCCCCTGAAAATCTATCCATCTCTATTGCCTGTGCAAATTAAAGTTTTCTTTCATGCCAGAGTTGCAAGTTGCGATTTGTTTTTCAAAAAGACTGCAAAGTCCAAATTTTGCTCCCGCAGTCTTAAGCTTGCTATTCCATAAAAAAATAGCCAGATCCTGGATTTGATTGATTTTTCTGCAAAAATCGCCGAAATCAATGCCTACTGTTTTTGGAATTTCAACTTCCCCTTTTGAGCGCAATGGGAAGTTAAGAATTTTCGATGTGACTGCAAGTGGAAATTTCGCTCCTCTAACTTCAACTTTCATACGCTCTAAATAATCAACAAAACATTGAATTTGAGTCAAATTTGGCGCCAAGATAGCTTAGTACCTTGGCTATTATCCATGTAATTTATAGTTTTATTCTCGATGAGAGCTCGAAGTAGCGATTTTTTTTTATACTGCCAAAGTCGAAATTACGCTCTTTTTTCTTCAAGCTTGAAGCTCTCTAAAAAATTAACGAATAATTGAATTTAAATGAAATTTTGTTTGCCGATAGCGAGTTAATCTAGTTTTCTGCTGTGCGGCTTACAGTTTGCTCCATGGACAAATTTGAAAGTTGGAATTTTTTATTCAAAGAGACTGCAAAAGTCGGTATTACGCTACTAGCTTCAAGCTTGACATTCTCTAAAAAATTAAGGAACATCTAAAATTGAGCGCATTTCTGCTCAAAGATAGTTTAGCACTTTTGCTATTGTTTGTGTTATTTACAATTTCATCCTTAAAAAGAGTTTGAGGAACCGATTTTTTTTCGAGAAACTGCAAAAGTAGAAATTACGCTCCTCTAACTTCAACTTTGATACGCTCGCAATAATCAACCAATCAATGCAGTTAAGTTAAATTTCGGGGAAAGATAGTTTAGCATTTTGACTGTTTTCTGTGAAATTTATATTTTTTTTCTCGATGAGAGCTCGAAATAGCGAATTTTTTGAACCAGACCACAAAAGTCGAAATTACGCTCTTTCTGCTTCTAGCTTAAATCCCTCTAAAAAATCAACAAATTCTTCAATTTGAAAGGAATTTTGCCTAAAGATAGCAAGTTGCTTTAGCTTTTTGGGGCGAAATTTGTAGATTCCTTCTTGAAAAAAGTTGAAAGTTGCAATTTTTTATCAAAAAGACTGTCTGAAATCAAAAGTCGGCATCACGTCCATGAAGCTTCAAGCTCGACATTCTCCAAAATTTAACTAATATCTAAAATTGAGTGCATTCCTGCTCAAAGATAGTTTAGCACTTTTTCTATTGTTTGTACTATTTATAATTTTATCCTTAAAAAGCGTTTGAGGAACCGAATATTTTTCAAGAAACTGCAAAAGTAGAAATTACGCTCCTCTAACTTCAACTTTGATACGCTMTAAATAATCAACCAATCAATRGATTTGYCTTAAATTTYGGGKAAAGATRGTCTAACACTTTGGYTATTTTCTACGTAATTTATAGTTTTTTMTCGATGGTAGTTTGAAATAGCGAATTTTTTCAACGAKACCACAAAACTCGAAATTACGCTCTTGCTGCTTCCAGCTTGAATCCCTCTAAAAAATCAACGAATTCTTCAAWTTGAAAGGAAATTTGCCTAAAGGTAGCAAGTTGCTTTAGCTTTTYGYRGCSAARTTTRTAGATTCTTTCTTGAAAAAAGTTGAAAGTTGCAATTTTTTATCAAACAGAGTGTCTGAAATCAAAAGTCGGCATCACGTCCATGTGTGCTTCAAGCTCGACATTTTCCAAAAATTAACTAATATCAAAARKTGAGTGCATTCCTGATCAAAGATAGTTTAGCACTTTTTCTATTRTTTGTGCTATTTATAATTTTATCATTAAAAAGCGTTTRAGGAACCGAATATTTTTCAAGRAACTGCAAAAGTAGAAATTTGCCAACCAATCAATGGATTTGACTTAAATTTCGGGGAAAGATAGTCTAACACTTTCGCTATTTTCTAGGTAATTTATAGTTTTTTTGTCGATGAGAGTTCGAAATAGCGAATTTTTTCAACGAGACCGCAAAACTCGAAATTACGCTCTTGCTGCTTCTAGCTTGACCCCCCAAAAAAATCAACAAATTCTTCAATTTGAAAGGAATTTTGCCTAAAGGTAGCCAGTTGATTTAGCTCCTTAAAAAGCGTTTGAGGAACCTAGATTTTTTCAAGAAACTGCAAAAGTCGAAACTTTGCCCTTATAGATCCATGTTTGGCACCTTGCGGAAAATCCACGAATTTCTGAATTTGAGTGAGCTTTTGCTAAAAGATAGCCTATCTATTTGGCTATTGTATGTAGAGTTTAAAGTTTCCTTTTTGAACACGACTCGAAGAAACGAACTTTTCCGAACAAACGACTGCAAAAGGAAAGTCAAAATTACGCCCCTGTAGCTCGAGACACCCTCGCAAAAACACCAACGAATTACCCAACTTCAGTGAAATTTCGCGAAAAGATAGTCTAATCTTTTGGCCCTTATATGTGCAATTTTTCCTTTCCTTCTCCATGAGCGTTCGAAGAAGTAATTTTTTCAGAGACTGTAAAAGCCCAACATTACGCCCTTGTTTCTGCAAGCTTCGCTCCCTTAAAAAAACCAACGAATGCTTGAACTTGCATGAAATTTTGCCTCAAACTGCATCGGAAAATTCCAGAATTTCACCATCAATTACTGGATCGAAAAGGGC